ACTAAATTTCTCAAAATTTTACAACAACTCCACGCATGTCTAATTGGCCACTTCCTTGTCGAATATAAAATCCTTCCGAAATCGACTGTCTCCCTATTTACAAAATATTTACAAAATATTTACTAAAYCCAGAAACATGCTTACTAGACACCCGTTGCGCATGGCGAATAAGAAAAAWGCAAAAAATACAATTTCTTTCAAAACTAGTTTACGTTGTAGAGTGTAAATATTTTGAGCGCAAAGCAGCTAAAAGCAGTTAGGCTTATCTGTCAAGCCAATTAAACACGCCTCTGACACACTGTGCAGGAAAAAAACGGCATTCAAGAAGATTACGTGCTGAGCATGCGGCAACCACAACAAATCTACATGCTCACGCACGCACATCCAACAATCGGAAATCTAATGTTGAACTATTCAATTACATACTTACATGTAGGTACGTGTGTGTGCTGGCAGCTCATTGCTCGGCCTCAACTGCTTAACTGCCTCCGTTGTCCTGTTGTCTGCGCTCTACGCCGCCAATTAGCTATGGTCAATATATTATTTTCACTTCTAGAGGGGTCTCGAAGATTTTGCCTTCAAAATTCTTTCTTCAACTTCGAGATTCTTTCCGCTGGCCTGCCCTTTGAGACTGCGCAGCATTTAACCGCAAATAATTGATTCGCATTGCCTGTGACTTGTTGATGCTTTTGTCTACTTAGATTTTGGAAAACATTKTCACAAACATGCCACATATAGTATTTATATAAGAATTCTTCTAAAAACTTATTACCTTTTCTTTACGCACACAGTTCATTAATTGTACGCTATTTTGCTATTCTATTCTTTGCAGCGCGAATTCAATGAAAATCGTTACCTCACAGAGCGGCGTCGTCAACAGCTGAGCGCCGAATTGGGTCTGAATGAGGCGCAAATCAAGATTTGGTTCCAGAATAAGCGCGCTAAAATCAAGAAATCCTCMGGCTCGAAAAATCCACTCGCGCTGCAGCTGATGGCACAAGGTCTCTACAATCACACCACMGTGCCGTTGACGAAAGAAGAGGAGGAGCTTGAGATGCGCATGAACGGGCAGATACCGTAAGCGTCACTCTAAAGAGAGAGAGAGGAGGAGTGAACTGGAAGGTTGAAGTTGACAGTTGAGATGCGCATATGCTCTGAGCTTCGGGTATTTCAAATGTGACGACGCGTGCAATAATTAGGGTAGGGAGGGGCAATTAACAGTTGCTAAAGCATAAAGGTGTAAAATATGAAGCATGAAAATTAAACAAATTAATAATAAAAATAAGAGTTTGTTATGTGATATAAATATACAGGCATGTATATGAAAAAGGCAAACATTAATTGAGCAAGCATAAAATAATAATATTAAAAAATTCAAAAACTTTGAAAAAAATTAAAATATGTTAATAATTAAAAAAAAAAAAACAATAGAAAACAGTAAAAAATAAACTTTTGTAAATACTAGTTATAGTTTCTTCTTCACACTCAAAATCCTACTGCTCACACACTTGTTTAGACAAAAAGCGCCTCAAACACCGTTTATGCCACACTCCCGGCTCACCAAATGGCAGCACTGGCTGTCTCATCAAATCTTGTAAGAAATTGTAAATTATTATATTTATTAATATTAGTTAAGTAAATTTAATTAATTAAATATTTTGCTGTAAAATTATGCGATTTATTCATACACACTGTAAATCAAGCAACCCCACGTTCCCCAAACACCACACACACACACARGCACACCCACTTTTACCTGCAATTGTATTATAGCAACATTTTGTTTTTGTCTGCTACATAGCTTTTAAGTAAATTAAATTTATTTTTTTTATTTTTTGCTGTTTTTGTAGTGGTATTTTTAGTATAACTTTTAGCATGCTACACACACATACATATGYACATAAGTTGCGAATAATTTAAGCAGCAAAGAAAGCTCTATTGTAAAAAGTATACATACATACATATGTATATGTATGTGTCTATAATATAAGCTTATATATATGTACATACTCTTGTTTTCACTATAGTTTTTAAGTTTTCGAAAATGCTGAAATTTTCACAAGCGTTAAAGTATTAATTGCGGACACGCAAAGTTTCAAATATGTAAATTTACTTGTGTAAACAAAAAATTTAAAAATTAATTATGTAATAGAGCAAATATATATATTTAAAAATAATGCATACGAATTAAATGAAAAGCGTTAAAAATGAAATATGTTCAATAAAAAAACTATATGAAAAAATTAAAACACAATTTTTTTATTATTTTCCAAGTTGAGTGATATCGACCGTTATATATAATAATTGCAAGCACTTTCGTTTGACTTATRCTGGCCGTACATATAGTACACCTACTGCGCTAGAGTATTGCCAAGCGAAGTTTCAGTTTAATGTGAGCTTAAGTACTACTATGATCAAAAAGTAGTAAGATGCTGTYCATAATTGAAAAATGTAATCCAARCAATMAATGTCGTTCCYCTTAAAGTAATCCCCCTTGGTCCCAATACACATGTRCCAACGTTTTTTCCAATCCTCGAAACAATTTTTTAAGTCAATTTCCCGAATAGCCTTCTATGCGCCTAACGATTCTCGATTCATGTCTTTAATTGCCTCAAAACGATTTCACCGGAGCGGTCGTTTGTGTTTACCGAATAACCAGAAGTCACACTGAGCTAATTCAGGTGATGATTGCGGTATGATATTGGTTGAAAGATTGCCGAAAAAYTTACCAAGAATCAATGCAGTGTGYGACRGTGCATTATCGTGGTGCAAAAGCCAAGCGTTACCCGTCCATAATTCCGACCTCCTTTTACGAATAGCTTCGTGCAAACGATACATAACACTCATATAGTATTYCTTGCTGATARTTTGGCYGGTCGAAAAGAATATGGGGTGCACCACAGCTCGATAATCGCAGAAAACTGTCAACATAACCTTGACAATGGCTTCGGCTCACCGTTGCCACGATATTCGGCCRATTGATTGAATTTTTCGGGGTCGTTTGCGTAGATCTAAGACTCTTTASCAGTAATAATACGTTTCATGATATTYTGGTAATAATATRCAGCWTAAGATCTCGCGTTGTATTTGTTCTTAAAAAATTCTCGAGCTCCTAAAATCACTGTCGCCAGCAGATGACCTCGTGAAGCAGCTTTCTCTGAAGACTGATTGAGTGTCTGCGATTTTGTATCGAAAGATTAATACACACTTTTTTTCTCTCAAATTTATGTATTATAAAGCCTAAAGAAAAGAAATTTTTGTTTTGATAGAAAAAATTTCACTTTTTAGGAATAAAGACTGGACTATCGCATAAAATCTATCTAATATAATATTAATCATCTGTAATATATGCAGGTTTGTAAATTTATTTGCACTTGCTCATCTGATTTAGTTGTTATAGCGTCAGCAATTATTCTAGGTAAAATTTTTTTTAGAAAGGATACCGAATTTATAGTTGTCGGTCGAATATAAATCCGATTCGGTTTCGATTACGTATAGCCATCTGATTTTTTTAGTTTCATCGTAAGACTTCATTCTCGTCATTTTCGCCCTATATATATATATCGAAAGTTTTTGTTTCTTGAAATGATTTTATAATTAGAAGCTAACTTCTTAATATTTTCAACATGATTTTTTTTTTCAGGGATCTCGCAGGTTATGTGAGGTTGTGGTGTAGTAAAATATAGTAGTTTGAGCTGAAGTATTCGTCATACARGATGTCAATACTTTTCGTGAACTTTAAAAGCGATATCTAAGTTTAACACTTCATTCAGTCATTTGAACTGCGAAGCTCCTGGATTTTTAAGAGTTCTAGATACTGCTGAACAGAAACAAAGGATGTGTTCTAGCGACTCTTATGCCCATTTCTGTAAGAATCTCGCTATTTAAGACTCGCATATGATGCCAGTAGGTWGTGACCTGTCAAGTGACCTGCAAACGTCCGGCAGTTCTTTCGAGACCGTCTGAGTAAAAAGCATGCGAGTTTTCCTGCGGGCTCTTGCAGATGATCTTGACAATTCTGAATGTACTTGTCTGTCAGCCCTTTCGAAATTTTATTGTGTATTTGTTTCTAGTAACTTACATAACTCCTGTACTGTTCAAATGGATGGCACTATTGACAATCTCATCAGCTATTTCGTCTCCCGSAATTCCTTTATGGTTYGGAACCCGGTTTATATGCASMGGTTTTCGGTTGCCTCTACATCTATTGCCTTCCTGCTTCTAAAGATATTCTCTGCAGGGCTCTAGTAAGCCTGACCGAATTTTTGTTTTATCGAATATAAAATTATATCTCTCCTATGACGTTTTAAATCGCAAACCCAACTTTGACGTAGTTATTTCAATCAAATTATAAAGTGGGGTTTAGACTGACTTCGCTTATGATTCATATCTGTTCGGAGTATATTACATACTTGCGAACATATAAAAGTATTATTTGAAATAAATCGATATACTGAATTTTTTTTTTTTTTTTGCCGAGACGGATTATGTTTTAATAATCTCTCGTATATTAAAAACTGACTATATTACTAAATATTGTTATTTAGAGATAGAAAATATTTTCTGATAATATAATTCATTTCGCTGTTGCCCTTTAGGCTTCCTCTCCCCTCTGTGGGTTGCATAGTGCAGAAGTGTATTAAACTGGTGCAGCGGAATCTGCCAAACTTTCCCAAATTAAATGTGCCAATTAGCCAACAACACTAATGCTTGTTAAGCTTTGCAACTTTGTAAGCTGTAACGACCACATACACACATGCTTACAAGCAGACAGCATGATGAAATTGGTCCTAAAGCTTCATTTACTTTAACATACGACAAAGAAGGCAAGTGAAAGGAAATTTCGTGACGAATTTTTTGTGCATCAATACCAACAACTTTTCAATATGACAAAATTAAAATCATGACGCTAATTGTAGCTTCATTTGAGTTTGAATGAAAATTTATTTTTAGTACGTACGTTCATGTATACATACATATTAGTGGATGCGGCCACGCGTTGCTGTGTAGATTGTATACAATTATTCCTATAATTAACTATTCAATACAGTAAACATTTTATTTAGGAATAAAGGCGAAAACGTTTTTGTCGATATAAGAATCCAAGGAATTGTACTTGAGATTTAGTATTGAATACAAATAAATTTCATTGGAAAAAGTATAGTATATAAGGTTGCTTTCCCAATGCATGGTTACCAGCCTTTCAGTCCAGTTAATGGAGTTGTTCGCTTAATAGGGCGTCTATTTAATAGAGATTTATTCTATATCTATGAATATTCTATATTTATGAATTGTTTATGTTATCCGATCTTCTAAGTTGGTTTGAACTGGACACAGTGTGCTAAATTTTACTAAAATCGGTTCAGTAGTTTAGGAGTCCTTCGCGGACAAACAACGAGGCACGTACTTTTTATATATAAAGATGACACTTAGTGCCATCTTTGTCAAATCTCACATCAAAATAATTATAACTGTTTAGTGTTTAGTCCTCCTGATGTACAAAAAGTGTATTCGTCGATTTTTACGATGAGCGAAATTATTCAACAAAGAAGATCATTGGAATATAGGAAAGATCAGTAAAGATCATTTTAAAAGATCGTTTGGGCCCGAGAAAAGTGAAAACCCGATTGGTCTCAAGATCACTCAATTTTTTCCCACTAAGGGGATGTCATGAAGCTTATCATTACTGGCGATGAGTATGAGATCTATGCTAACGACACGTAAACAGACGCTCAACCAGCCGAATATTGTGGCAAAGGCGAGCCGAAGCCGAAAAAACGATGTCAAAGCAGTTCACAAATCAATTGACCGCTCCGTGGAAACTGTTTTGAGTCAAGATATCATTATGATCACTTCACATCAGACCACTAAAGCATATAAATGTTATTCAAACTGACTGACGAAAATCAAAATAAAGATCATTTTTTAAATACGAAATTTACCTGTGAAGGGTATTGCTGCTTCGATGCGTTTTTTCTTCCTTTCACTTCATTTATGGTTAAATTTTGCGGTCGCAGCTTTCGGCAGCCAGCACTCTCAGCAATTCATTCCAACATCACAGAATATTTCCCCTCGCGTGAGTGTGTGTGTGTTCGTTTTAGGGGCAATTGAAGTTCATCAGCGATTTTCGCACGTCTAATTGGATGGAATTCCCGTGGATGACAGGCGGCATTTAATTGCGCCACATTGGAAAATGTAAATCACTACGTGGCATGTGGCATGCCACATAACGCACAAAAAGATATATAAATAAGAAGCGAGCCAC